ATACAAATTCTCCCCACAGGAGACAAGAAAGGTCATGCATCTATGAGCAGTTTACAAGGGGTTTAAGGTTTCATTGGAATATATTCTCTATTGGGTTCTGCCTCATGGGTTTGTATTTTTTGAAATAATGCAATAGGAAGCATTATTAGGGCTTTGGGACAGAGACCAGGTTTGAATCTAGGTCTGACATTTATAAGCTGGGTGAGCTTCGGAAAGCGATGGACTGGGTCTCGGTTTCCTCATTTGTAAGTAGAAAGAACACTACTCACCCATCTGTAAGAGCTGTAAGAACAGTAAAAGATGATGCGTGTGAAATATGTGAGGAAAAGTTGCAGGTTCAATGAGCGAATCTGTCAGCCTTTCTGCAGAAGCACCGATTCACTGGATCATCCAATAGATTTGCTTCCAGTACTTACTAAGTGCCAGGGATGGTGCTAAATTCTGGGAATATAGTAGTCAAGACAGACAAGGTCCCCACATGGATGGAGCTACTGGAGACAATTACTAAACCTCTAAGTACTATTATCAGATTCTGATAAATATTATGCTTCAAAAAAATAAAATTAGTTAATATAATAAAGAGTCCCTGGAGGAAGAGAGGGAGGCTTTCAAAGGGTATTTAAGGAAGGCGTCTCTGAAAAATTGACGTTAATCTGAATGGAACCAGTCATCCACTCTTAGGCAGGAACAAACTTGGTATTTGGAAGGGACGGAGGCAAGGCCAATGCAGCTGTAAGCAAAACAGGGTAACAGACAATGTTATGATCAGCAGGACCTAGATCATGGACTCTGTAGACCACAGAAAGAGTCTGAAACTTATTCTCATTGTAATAAGAAGCCATTAAAAGATTTTAAGTGCCAGAATCACTTCATTAGATTTTTTTTGAGGGAACAGGCTTGGCACAATTATGATTTTGTGAAATGAAAAAATTCTGCCCTGACTAGGCTAGAGGATAGTTACTAGAAGATCATGTAAAATAAAGCTTTGATAGATAATGTGATACAGAAAATGGATTTAGACTTGATGTGATTTTTTTTAAAAAGAGGATGTCATTAAACGCTGTGACACGAAGCCATGTTTAGGTGACACTCATTAACCTGTAGTCCATGGAATATCTTGGGAAGGAACTTTATTCCTTTTCAAAGAAGAAGAAAAGAGGTAAGAAGTAGAATTACTCTTCCTGGAACAGATTTCTTCTTCCAGGATTTTAGTGTTTGGATGCTGAGATTAAATGAACTAATGTGCTGAAGGAGCCTGGCACGGTGCAGAGTTGGGTATGCAGAAGACACTCACTAAATTATAGTAGCCTCTCTCTTTCCTCTTTTACCCTTTGCACTGAAATGAACCAGAAGCGATTGGTACGGAATTCCTAAAGGATGGGTGAGGAGTTGCCAGAGGAAAAACGTAGGAAACAACCAAGATGAACCTAGATGAACCTAGATGAAAATGCGTTGCACGAGTGGACTATACTTTCAACGATTCCCATATTTCATGCTCCATTCTAGAGTTTTAATGCCAGTGAAAGGTCCCCTAAGCCAGAGGTGTACAGATTTCATTTTTTAAGTAAAAAAAAAAAAAGAAACCTTCAAAATAAGAATAACTCCAAGTTCAAAGATGCTGGACCAAGTGAGAATTTCAGTGACACTACAGCCATTGTTTTCTAGGCATGGGACGGGAGGAGAGTAGTATGAAACAATACAGCAACGTATTAGAAAAGCTGTAATTAATCATTTTCCTTGTATGTGGTCTTGATTCAGATAAAACTAAAACTAAGGTTATAGTTTGGAGCCTCTTCTAATATCGACTTCCTTTTTGATCTTTGGGAACCAATATGGAACAACTGCACAAAGAGAAAGTAATCAGAAGGAAAAAGGAAAAACAGATGGAAATACAGGCAAAATTTTCAACAAGCTGGAGCTGGTGTAAAAGTCTAATATTTGACCCAAACACCTACAACTCAATTCCATTTACGGCCGAAGTCAGGTTGGAACTCTCCCTGCCCTGCATAGTTATGTTCCCTGACCTGCATCTCAGTATGTCCAGCCCCCCCCAGCTAGGGCAGCTGTGTGGAGGCTGCTGGCGTGAAGAGTTTGGGGACCCTGGCTCTGGGTAGCCTAGGCACAAAGGTCACAGATTTCTTTACTCCAATCCAGAAAAGATTTGGGATAGACATTATCACTCTCCCCAAGGACACATTTTCTCTGGAGTTTTCCCAGTCTTTCTAGAGATGTAAATTTTAATACATATTTGAGAGTCTCCCCTCATCATGGACTCAGGATTCCATTGAAACTAGGCAAAGGACTCTCCTTTGGGTCTGGAAAGGTCTAGAAGTGTTAACAGGGAGAAAACAGCACTTGGCCTGTTCAGTCGGGGGCCTGTCCTGGCCACATGCCTGTGGCCCACATCTTAAACTGTTCCAATCACCATAAAAAAGGTGAAATAAAACAAGGAGAGAGATGCCCACGTGAGAAATCTGGTTGTAAAAGCATCTGTTTGCGGCAGGTAAAGCAGTGAAATTAAGCAGCCACAGTAAAAGCGTAAAAGTCCCGCTGGATGGAAATGTCCCAAAGGCCCACCGGCAAGGTTATGTCCACACTGGAAAGCAGGAGAAAACCAGGGCCACCACCGGAGGGCTGAGTCAGGCGTTGAGCAGAGAGGGACGCTGAAGGTCAAGTGTGGCGCTTTAAACTGACCTGGGCCAGCTCTCGTCAGGCAGAAGTGCTAAAAGGAAGCGTCTGGCCAGAATTTTGGACAATTTTTCCCCAGGCCAAGCAGGTCAGTCATTGCCCAGGCCAGCAGATCCTTCCCCCAGGGCCCTGGTGGGGCCATCACCCCTCCCCCGCAGCAATGTGCACCCAGACACATCACCCCAGTTTTCCCACATGAGAGCATCAGTGACGTGGCAGGTCGGTGGGAATGAGCCTCTAGGATTGGATGATACAAATGGCTTTTTATGGAAGCGAAGTTATTCTATAACCAATACATATGATTAAACAGTAACTAATTTATCCAGTGTTTTATCTCTCTCTCTATACATTCATTTCAATACAGAGTTTGACCAAAAGCAGCTTCTTAGAAGTTTTAGCCCATTTCTTAACAATCTCAAGACTCCATTGGAGTGTTCCTGATAAAATGTTGTGATAGGCAATTTAAACAGGTTTTTTCTGCTGCTGGATATGACAGAATTTATAATATGCTAATATGCCTTGTGAATTTCCAAGAGAGGAATAAAGTAGACAGCAGCTTAAAACTATTTTGATCACAGAACCTCAGGACAGGATATTTCGGACCCGGAGAGCTATATAACACGATTTTGGAAGTGCTGCGCTAGTGAATTCTCTACTGCCCTACAACATGTGAAAACCATTGGACATCCCCTGAGAAACTAAGAATAAAAACCATATGAGGTATTAGCTTATGAAATGAAAAAAAAGAAAAAACTATCAAGTTACCCATCTATCAGGGCACATACATTAAAACTTAATTAATTAATTGACGATGCCTAGAACAGTTATGCATGTTACTCAATAAAGATGGACTAAAAGCAATTAAATACACCTGGCCAAGCAAAACAAGGTCTTTAGTTATAATGTAAACCCATCACTTTTCCCAAAGAAAACGTGCTTAAGTCAAAGCCCTTTGCTGGTGAGTGCACGCTCAGGACTGAAACACTATGCCAAAAATAATTTATACTAGGTACTTTACTGTGGAAATAAAATATAAAGTTCTTGCCACTGCCAAGAGTTCTATTAGAAAATGAAAAATTCAGCCTCGGTAAAGACAAAAATGCTCGCCCTTGATGCTCCCAGCCAGCTTTCCTGCTCTGGGTTTCTTTAGTGCTGTGCCCACTGCAGAACTGAGGTGGCAGGAAGGGCCTCTAACACAGACCACCTGAGCCAACGAGCCCTCTGTAACGTGCTCAGAGCACGGGACCTGGAAGTCTGTGCCTCCCGCATGAACACAGAGTTTAAAGCAGAGGGCGGAGTCGACCCCCAATCATCCCGGCGCTGACAGCCCGGACGGGCAGTAGTCTGTGCTCTCTGCTCCCCTGAGCCAGTCTCTGCTGCCCACCTTTCTTTTCTAGTAGGAAAAGCAATGTCAGGGGATAAGTGCTGGAAATCAGAGCTATGGAGACTCGAATCGTGTTTTACTGGTTTACTGCTCTCGGGAAAGGACTGATGGGAGAGGATGAAAGTACTGAAGAAACGAATGAGAGAATAACCCGCAGGCCTCACGCCTTCTGGACCCTTCCATGGTCCCAGCTAATCAAGAGTTAAATGTCCTCTGTGGAATGTTTCACAGATGGCAGAACAAAACTGCTAGATAAAGGTGTTTTGAAGTGGAAAACCAGTGCTGTCTCCGTCCTGTTGTATCCTATTTTGGTATAAATAAAGACAGTGTGTGTACATATATATTTGTATGTGTATGTGCGTGTATATATATATATATACACATATATATATATACGCACATACATATGAATATAAATCAAAATGTTAACAGTGCTATACTTTACTGTGTGTCAATTATACTTCGATAAAGCTGCTTTAAACTGTTAACGGTGGTTATCACTGAGTTAGGAAAGACTACAGGCAATCATTAATTTATTTTCTGCTTGTCTGTATTATCCAAATTTTCTTGGCTATATGGCTTTATAAACCCTACAGAAATGTACTTTGTATAGAACAGAAACCGTAGAGTTATTATTTTAAGATTTAAGAAAAAAGAAACTACATTTTTTTTCAGGCTCAGTATTGGTTAAGGGGAGAAATGCAAAAAACCAAGGGAGGTTTGGTGGCCGCGGAGGCACCGTCAGAGGGACAGGAAAACGTTCCCTCTAGTTGCTGCATCACACACTCTTGGCTTCGTTTCAACCCCACTCACAAAGGGAAAAGGCAACTTGACAAAAGTGAGACCAAACACTTAGGGAGAGAAAGTACATAGGCACCAACGACAAAATGAAGTGAGAGGTATTCAGACACTTCTCCGTTGGAGGTACCTTCATTCCTGCCGCGGCTGCAGGGCCACTGGGGTCCACGGCCTGGATGTGGCATGGCTTACTTCCTCGCACCACAAAGCCCCAGCCGACGGCGTCGCCAACAATCTAGAGAGGAAAACCACAATTAGCAATCAGCAGACGGGCCCTGGCAATTTGCCTGTCCTTCCAAGAGAGAGGAAGCCGGCCCGGGATTGAGTGTGTGCCACGATACATCTCTCTTCTCCGTTTCATCCCCACCCTGTCACGGGAACGGAGCACGGAACACCTTGCTTCGATCATAAACACAGGCACGTCTATGCAGAAAATGTGGTCAAGAGACACCTGTTGGGCAGAAAGAAGCTTTTTCTCTGAGGCCATCACTCGAGAAATAACTGGCAGACTGCCTCTTTCTTAGGCCGCTGTGTGATTTAATAGCAGACTCAAATGGAAAGTTTAGAAGATCTCAAACACATGGTGGAATCTTCTCTCCAGATCCGATTTCTATTCCACGTTTGCTCTTTTCCCCTAAACGCTGGCTTTCTTGAAACACAATTTTCTCGACCCAGAAAGGAACGTAAAAAAGTACACAAAGTTCACAGTTTACAAGTAGACACGGGTCCAAAGGTTGTCTTCTCCTACAGAATCGTTACTAGAAGTGGCAGCTGTGTTCCTCAGGTGTCTTTAACACGTACCTCAACTGAAATAAGGACGAAACGCATTCATAATCAATCCTGAGCAACGCTGGCAGTAAAACTTAAAACCGAAAAGAAATACTTCCAAGATAAAACCGACGGTCTCTTGAATGCTGGAGATGGAAGAAAAGCCGGGAAACCGTGATATTTTTGTGAACATTCTCAAAAAGTTTTAGGCACTGCGTTGGCTTTACGGTTGGCTGTTATTAGTTCATTCCACCCAATTTCACCTCCGAATGTAGTTTACCTTTTCCCCTGACGCAGACATGTTAGCAGTGCTTTTTTCAAAGTGACTGGCCATGACTGGGACCATCGCGTTTTAATTCCTCGGTGCTCAGAGTGTGAAGTAGTCCTTGACAAATGTTTGCAGCGTGAATGAGTGTGGAAAGATTTTTTTTTTTCCCTCCTGAGTTAATAAAACAAAAGTTAGAAGACTGAAGGAAAGAGATGTTTTAAAGAGGAGGTCGATGTAGACATCAAGAGACGGAAGAAGAAGCCAGGGGAAGGAGAGCGGGCGAGGGCTGTCAGAGAGAGCACTTGGATTCTGTCTGAAGAAAATCAGCGGGGGAGGAAAGTTGAAGGACCTCCGTGAGGGGCAAGCCTTCGCAGGAACGAAGTGCTCCCGAAGCAGATGCTTATACAACACAAGGCATGCTAACATGGTCAAAAGCACCACTGCTTATGGTGGAGCAATCTGTCCTACAATTTTCTTTCTCTACCTAAAAACTCCCCTAATGTCTTAAATGACTTTTAGAATTAACTGCAACACAGAAGATTATTGGCAGTATCGATGCTATCATTTGCCCCGAAATCCGTAATTGTATTTAATAAGTACGTAACGGAAATCTCTTATAACAGACAAAAGGAGTTTCAAATTAATAATACATCATGTCAAGTCCTAATGCATTTTCGTGTCTAAGGGTCAAGAAAGCCCACTGATATAATTATGCCAAAAACAAAAGGAAAATTAAGAGGTTTTCGATTCTGACGTGTCATGAGACACACCGACACATTGATACGTTGACGTGGCCTGGAAAATACGAGCAGCGCAGGAGAAAAATGCAAGCCATGAGCTTACCGTGAACGTCTTCCTTGCATATGGAGCCCCGGGTGTCAGGAGTTCCTCCGAGGTGACAGGTCTCTTTAACACTGGAAGACAGACACAATGTCAAGGTGCAAACCCCTCTGAGCCCTAGATCATTCATTCGGCAGATATTTTACTGAAAGTCTCAGAGCATAAGTGAGAAAGACCCCTGCCTCGCAGTTTATACTCTAGCTGAACAGAGACAGAAAATATTAGCAAATATAAATAATCCTAAACCTAACCTACAGGGCGATGGAGAAGAAGAAATGCAGCAGGGCAGAGGAAGTGACAGGG